TGACCCAATCTTCTGTGCCAGATCCATTGCTCGTTGTTAACAGACAGAAGACACTTTACATTCTGACTTTTCAGTTCAGAAAGTTTTATTTTATAAATGTTGTTTCTCCTCTTTCCATTAAACAGGATAGTCCCATCTTTCTGACTAACAGCTTTGCATGAATTTTAATTAAAGATTATATCATAACCGTTATCACTTAATTGACTTATGGATAACAAGTTATGCATTAATCCATCTACTAATAAAACATTACTTATAAAGGGAAGATTTCCATTACCTACAGTTCCAGAGCCAATGATCTTTTCCCTCTGATTGCCTCCAAGGCCTACATGGCCTCCAGGCTTAAGTTCCAGGCTTTGGAACATATGCCTTCTTCCCGTCATGTGTCGTGAGCAGCCAGAGTCCAGGTACCATGACTGGTGTTTCTGCTTTGCTGCTAAAGATATCTGCAACATGTATTATTTTATCCTTAGGTACCCATATTTTCTTGGGTCCTGATTTGTTAGTTTTACCAAAACTCTGGTTGAATTTTGGTTTGACAGAATAATTACTACTAGTATATTTGACGTCGTGTGTGTGCCCATATACAAAGTGTGAATTAAGTGGAGTTCGTTTAATAAATAAATCTATGGCATTCTTTGGTGTAGGTACCTTACCTTGGTATCCTATTCCTTTTCTGCCATTTCTGCTAACTCCATAGATCATTGAAGCCATTTTGCTTCTATCTATGCTTTTAGCTAGAAACTTCTGAAAGCTGTGATCATACTCCATGATGATCTCATCAGCACTACTGGGAGTTTCAAGAATTGTTTCCTTCTGAGAGTTTTGTAATTGATTTTCTAATTTTGAAATTTTATTTTTCAACTCAGAATTCTCCAATTTGAGACTCTCAGTTTTATCAGAGTCAGAAGCAAGATTCCTTTTCAGGTTTCTGAATTTGACTCTGATCTGCTGATATCTTTCCAAAATCTCATTGAGGCTTTCAGCTAGTTCAGCCTTAGTAAAATTAATAGCAAAGTCAGGAAATACCTCTTCTGTGTCTGATTCAGAGTCTGATTCAGAAGCTTCACTGTCTTCTGTTATGTGTGCCATGAGAGCTATGTTTGCTCTCTCATCATCTGATTCTGAGTCAGCTTCAGATGTGTCAGAGTCATCCCATGTAGCCATGAGACTTTTCTTCTTTTCCTTGCCAAACTTCTTTTTGGGCTTTTCCCTCTGAAGCTTTGGGCAATCACTCTTGTAGTGTCCTTGCTCGTTACATTCATAGCAGATGATGTCTTTGTTGTTTGGCTTTCTGCTTCCTGAAGAGCCTTCAGATCTTCTGTGTCCAGAGGAGGATTCTGACCTTCTGTATCTGAAGGAGGATTCATTCTGATTCTCTGATCTTCTTAGATTCCTGAACTTTCTTTGCCTCTGCTTCTACAGTTGGTTCACCCTTCTGGAGAGGAGAGACAATTCATCTTCTTCTGATGAGGACCCATCAGAGGTTTCTTCTACAGCCTGCAAAACTTTGGAGTCAGATTTTCTGTTAGATTTTAAAGCTAGTGGCTTACCTTGCTTTTGAGGTTCATCAGCTTCTAGCTCTATCTCGTGACTTCTGAGGGAGCTGACAAGTTCCTCCAGAGAGATTTTGTTGAGATCCTTAGCTAGCTTCAGCGATGTGACCATTGGCCTCCACTGTTTTGGCAAGCTTCTGATGATCTTCTTAACATGATCAGCAGTAGAATACCCTTTGTCCAGAACTTTGAGACCAACAACCAGAATTTGAAATATTGAGAACATCGTTTCAATTGATTCACTTTCTTCTATCTTGAATGCCTCATACTTCTGAATGAGCGCAAGAGCTTTAGTTTCTTTAACTTGAATGTTTCCTTCATGCGTCATTATCAGAGAGTCAAACATATTCTTTGCAGTGTCTCTGTTTGATATCTTTTCATATTCAGAGTAAGAGATGGCGCTGAGAAGAATAGTTCTTGCTTCGTGATGATTTCTGAAATCACGCTTTTGTTGATCAGACATTGCTTTCCTATCAATCTTCTGACCACTTGCATTCACTGGGTGCGTGTATCCATCTGTCACCATGTCCCACAGATCAACATCATGGGCTAGAAAGAAGCTTTCAATTCTGTCTTTCCAGTAATCAAAGTTCTCTCCATCAAAGACTGGAGGTTTTCCACTGAATCTGTCTCTTTCTTCATTGTTGTCATTGCTGATGTTTTGATGTGTTCCTGCCATAATGTTTTTTAATGCTGGATCTTGTACTGACACTGTTAAGTGTTATAAGCTCAGAACCAGACGCTCTGATGCCAATTGAAGAAGTGAAAAACACAAGAAGGGGGGTTGAATTGTAAAACTTGAAATCAAATGCAGACAACACGTTATTTTTATCATGTTTCGTTTGATCTCAAACTACTCCAGTCCACCCGTCAAGGTGATTTCGCCTCTCTCCAACGATGTCTTAATCCACTATATTCAACTGAATACACAACTACTTTAACAACTATTAAAGCCTTCTTGAGTCTAACCACAGACCAGTTTATCTCAAGGAATTTCTTTTACAGATAAATGAACTAATGTGTGTTTGATGTTTTCTAGGAAAAACTATATATCACAACTGTGATAATACACAATATTAAGCTTGGATAATACTAGATTGCTAGACCTATAGAGTAAGCGCTTGAGAACTTTAGCAAACTGGATGAGTGAGAACGTGAAGATGATTGGCTTATGCGTATGTGCGTATTAGAGAATTATTAGCCATTTCTTTTCTCACAGATTTGTTTATATAGCCTTGGAATAGATACGTTGCTGTCCATAACTTCATTTCAATGCTCATAACGTTCTTTCCTTTTTGAGAAGATCTTTGTCTTGGAATAAAGCCGTTGGTAATTAATCTATCTTGAATGCATAGTAACGTTTACACTTCAGAGTGTTCTGCTAATGCTAATCAGAGTGTTCTTGACTTTAGCTTATTCTGGCGCTTCTGAGTGCTGATGACATGGTTAGGATCTTGATCAGAGTATGTTAAGCGCAAATTCTGTTCATCAGGTTTCAGCGTAGCACATGTATTGATCTTATGATGCTGACATATCTTCTGATGCTGATGTTGATACTGATATTCTGATGCTGATTCCATCAGAGTTTCTGTAAATACACAACATAATTTTAAGTAGCATATATGTCTTATATAAATCTTATAATTCATTTAATCTTGTATTTTGTTATCATCAAAACTCTAACTGAGGGTTGTAGAATCAAACTATGTTCTAACATGATACTTGTTGTTGTGCTTTGTGCTTGATGTTTCTTAATGATTGATGTTGCTTTCTTATGTGATTCACATGTTTCCTTAGGGTTTTTGATTCAATTTTAATCTTTGATTAAAATTAAGTTAAGATAGACATTAGGGATTCTAATCCAAGCATGATATAATTAATCAGGGTTTCTCTTCAATCTCAACTTTAGGGCCATTGATGCATGACAATACTTAGGTTAGAAGTTCCCTCTTTGTTAGTTATTTGCATTGCGTTTCTCTTTTCTTTTAAAAGATTAAAAGCATTTTCTTAATCAAATACAAAAATACCTAATAAATACGATACATATAATACACCATGAGCCTTAAGCAAACGAGGAAAGATGAGTGGCAGTTTTCCTTATCTCTTTTTAGAGTATTTTGTACGCGAGACGCCTGGCTCGTTTGTACAAAGTATTCACCATCATTTTATAGACTTTAATATAATACGTATCTCAAGCAAATTTCAAAACTAAAAGAGAAGTACTCAAATATCCTTAGCCTTGAGGGATCATTTGATGTATCTCCTAACAAAATACTTCAACAAATTTAAATCTTTTTGCCTTCGGGTTTCTTTTCTCTTTAAAACTTTTTCAGAAATGACATGTTAATTACGTTCTACCGCAAACAGACAACGCCTAACTGCTAGAATGCGAACTTAACATCGTCCATAAAAAATAACCAACAGACAAACATTTTTGAGACGAACTATGGAGCTCTGACTTCTCTATAGCAATATAGGAATATGTAGGCACACGATTCAGGAAATGTTGACGAGACCATCTTATCTTTCTTTTTGAATTTTCTCGATGTTTCTCCTTTCATTTGAGATAAATAAAGTTCGATGACGACTATGTGTTTGTTCGCGTAGCGGCAATAAATAGTTAATTAAGCTCTATAGAGTAGCTTATTAAATGATTATTTAGTCAAACTATTTATTTAAATGCAACATTTATATGCATCGGTCTTTATTGCGTGGTCAATATTTAGCTCATAATTTTGATGTTAAATTTGGAATTGTTTTCGTAGAAATTTTCTTTATAAGTGGGAGATATTACTCATGTTACAAGTTGTCCGTGTTTCCATTGAAAAATGTAACCTTAACTTAGATGCACTTGAGCATACATTTTTTCTGTGAATTCTATACCAAGTTTATGCAACAACAATTTTATCTTTTCACCAATGATTTTGAGCTTTATCATGTTTCCTTGTGATAATTTATTGTTCTTATTACATACTTCAATCTTTTTTACTTAACCCAATTTTGTCTCTACTATCTTTGTTAGTCTGCCGCCATCTCATTTTTTTTGGTCTGGCTCCGCCACTGACCTGAACCTACAGGTGGAAAGGCTCTTCTTAAGGCTAGAAACATGTTTACAGAAGAATATTGGTACTGGATTTATATTGGTACTGAAATCAGTTTTTTAATTCAAATGGAGGATTGTTGGATCATCAAAAACCAGTATAGAACATTCAAAACCAGTCCTGTTAATTACATAACATCACAAATACAACACTTCTACATTGAGAAGTAAAATAACTTTTTGGTGTTTCATCGTAAAAACAATTGTATGAATAAAATGGTATCAACAATATTGCTTATATATGAAGAATGAGTTGATATGACTATGGACATTTCATTGATTCTTATTCATCCATATATAATATTCTATTCTATGGAACTTAAATTATGCATCAACGTTGATATCTACCTGCTCCCTCCATTTCTCACTTTCACTTTCCCTTCAGGAATAGTAGCAACACCATTCTTATTAGAATTCATTCCGATTTTACTTGGAACAGAATGCCTTCTTGTACCAGAACCACCAGAGCCAGAAGCTGTGAAAGAAAGCTGTTTCTTTGCAGGAGTACTTTGCACTTTGCTTTTAGCCTTTACAACCTTTGCAGGTGAGTTAACAAGGCTTTCATCTTCTTTCTCTGGAGATACCGCGATGCTATGTCTTCGTTTGCTTTCGGAGATCTTGTTGAACATGGACTTTGAATCACCATCACCACCCCAAGAACCAGTTGATGATGTTTTTGCTCTTACTTTAATAGGTGTTGAAGGTATGTTCCTTGAAGCTATATTTTGAGGATTTGGTTTTTGGCTTGTAGGAGAGATTTTATTATCTTGATTTTGATCTCTTAGAGTATACAATTTAGAGATTTCTCCAACTGACATAGTGTGACTCGCAGCACCTTTTGTTGATTTATGATTCTTTTCATCCTTTGTGTTTTGTCCTTCCCATGGCCTTGAATCCATCCATCTGTCAAGCCAATTCCATCCCCAATGAGGATTGTTCGGATCCATAATCGTCGCATCCGCGGATTCTCTTGAAGTGTTCCTCCATGTTTGCTGGCATAAAAAGTTATAGATTATGATCCATATGAAATAATCCAACATCACAAAAACTATATAAAAAATGTATGTAAGTACTTGATGTGTTGAAGCATAGGCCAAGGCCTTTTCTCTTCTCATAGCCGCGATCTGTCTATGCAACAATTTCGCTTGGATTTGCTCCTTCGATTTCGAACTATAATCCCATTCTTCAATAGGCTGCAAATTTATTCGCCACTTTAATAAATTTTTCAAAAAACATTATCAATTATGCATATAATCTTAAAGTACTTACCGCGGCTTGTAACTTATCAAGTTCCTTTTCGCGTTTCTGTTGCAATTGGCGTTGGAAAGATTGATTCTCCTCCGACATTCTAACCTTCCTCGCACTAACTTTAGACTGCAATCGCGAAAGCGTTTGCATGCATTGTAACGTAGTAGCCGCCTGTCGTTGAACAGATTGTCCTTTCACCAATGCTTTCAACCTCGCCAAGCCTCTCAATCCGCGCAAAGTCCTCCTCGCCTAACAAATATATATCGGTCAGAAGATAAGTAAAATCTGAAAGAAACGCACTAACGATAGAATTTTCATACCAAATATCCGCGAAAGGCGGATTGAATTTTCATAGCTGATATTTCTTGAGCTGTTTTTCCAATATAACAACCAGGAAGAGTTGCGCGGCGAGTGGCCTGAGCAGCAGCCACGGCCGCGCCTGTAGCAACAGCCGTGGCTAAAACTAAGGATAAAGCTTGCTTGTTGAGTTCATCTTCTGCCTCGGTTTTTTTTTGGTTTAACAACTTTTTTTCTTCTAGGAAGAGATGGAACAGAAACAACTTCTCTTGATTCCGATTCTGGATCCACATAATGTTCATGATGTCCAAAACATGTTAACTTTGACTTATGATGATGAGGTTTCTGTTTAAAGAAAAATAAAATTAAAAATGAATGAAACATCTTTTATAATAATATAATATAATAATAATAATAATTAATAATGTCAAAGATGATTAAAACCTGATCTTTCTTGGAATCAGATATGAAAATTTTCTTCACAGAAGAAAACCAGCTTCCTTTCCTCCCCATGTTCAATTCCTTTATCATGATCATGAAAATAAAAATATAATTAGATCAATAAAAATGAATAAGACGTGAAAGAGAAATTAGTTATTAATAATATGGAAAATTGAAGTGTTTTTTTTTTGTTGACATTGCAAGACCTTTGCATGAGAATTGGAAATATTTCTCTGCAAACGAAGAAGGTAAGGTGGTGCTTTTGTGAGAAGAGAAGGAGGGGAGAAAAGGAGGGGAAGAAAAAAATGTTGAAACAGAAAAACTATTGTTACAGCAAGGATTGGGTGGCAGAATAAGAATTGTTTGTATTAACTCCTAATTTTAACGTTAATTAATTGAATAACAAAAAACACATCTAACAAAATAACAACCTCGTTGCTTGTCTTTCTATTTTTTATTTTTTTTTTAGTTTTTCATTCATTGTATTTAATTTACGTTTTGTTTTATTAAAATGAATATAAGAAGAAGAAAAATCAACTGACATTGTTTTATACTTATTGTCTTTTTTCTATTAAAAAATTGGGTACAACTTATTTCTGTTTTTATAAATGATGAAAATTATAAACATCATTGATAGAATAGTCTGTTTAACTACAATTATGTAATTAGACGTAATCCCGGTTGGATTGATTTAATTTCGAGAGAATTCAATATTTAAATCGATCAAAATATATGGATTGATTTGAATTGAATTTTCATATTTTTTCGATAAAATACAAACTGATCTAAATTAAAAAATAACGGATTAATTTAGATTAAATTGATCGGATATATTAGAAATAAATATACGAACATATTTTAAAAAAAATAGTATAATTTACATCAATTAATTTTCTATAGTAATATAAATTCTTTATTTTTTTTCTTCGTTTTTTCATATAAGTTATGATTGTCACAAATGGTGTTTCATATTTTTTCCTTTTTGAAGTTGAATATTTTATACTAGTTTCCAAAATAAAGATGATATAAATTTATGAATTAATATGATTGATTCGAGT